CCCCCGGGCCAGGGCGGCCTCGCACCTCCCGCCCGGGCGCTGCGGGGCGCAGCGCGGCCGCCGCGTCGAGCACCGCTCGGATGTAGCGTAAAGGGCACGGAGCGCTCCCCGCGCCTCGCTCCCCCGTTAAAAAAAAAAAAATAGGCAACGGACGCATCCAACTTCTCCAGGAGTTTTGCAACATCGCGTCTTTGTGCCAAACGCGTGGCAGTGCTTAGCAGGGGAAACGCTGGCGAGGGCGCAGGGTTACGGGAGAGCGCGGAAGGAAGGCGAGGGAGAGCGCTGGAGGAAGGCAAGCCTGGAGAAAGCATCTCCGCCGCCTGTGAGAGGACCACGAGGAGCAGCCGGGCCACGTCTCCCACGGGGCTCGCTGGGCTCGCATGGCTGAGACTGGTAGTAAGAAAGAGAAGCGAAGGTTTCCTTGATCTCTGGTTGCCCTCTCCTAATACTGGCTCGCATTAGGCTGTGTCTGGTGTGAGCCTCCCCCTTATCCCTTGGATGTTGTCAGGTTGGATCAGCGTGATCTGCTCGGGATGGGACTCTCTGAGGACAGAGTGCAAGAGGGAGCTCTGCTTGCAGGGCGGTCGGTGCCTCGGCTGCTCTAGAGAACCCGACGCGTGGCCGGGTGGGTGCGTGTGCACCGGGGCTGCCCTGCTCCGGGCACGCCAGGCCCCACGCCGGCTCCACGGGGAGCATTCGCCTTCCTTGCTCCGAGGAAGGGGCCTCCAGGTGCAGCGGAGGGCAGCTCTGCGGCCCCTTCTCTCTCCCTGGACCTCCCCATCTTGTGCCAGGCTTGAGAGCTCTGCTCACCTGCTCCATTTGTCCCCAGGTCGAGGCGGTTGTTTTGGGCTGGTGGGGGAATGGGGGATGCCTTGTGCAGTAAGGAGAGGTGGCTGCGCTAGAGGGATTTGTCAATCTGGGATGTGTGCAGTGGGAGAGGTGGTTTTAAAATAAGTTGTCTGAACAAGTAGGCTGAAAAAGGTGAGAATCAGGGGGAAAAGGAAGGCTTCGGTGCATGCATGCTTTCACTTTCCTTGTTGGACAGAGCTAAATGATCAGTGTAATAACAGGGAAAAAAAAACTTCAGTCTTTGCTGTCAAACTTTTTAGGAAACCCACCTAGACTAAGACGAATGGAAGCTGCTTGCTTGGTGTGTTCAGCTGATGCCTGGTGAGAGCTGAAGGAGGTGTGGAGAGCAAACTGAGTGGGACACACTTGCTCATCAGTCCCTTTTTCTTTTTTTTCTTTCTTTTTTTTTTTTTTATCAGTGCCAGCCCCTTCCAAAACTGAATTGCCGTCCTTCCCTCCCCTCAGGTAAAAAGCTGAGGATAGAGATAAGCCTTACCCTCCAGCCTAATGCTCAGCAAACTTGGGCACCCTAAGGATCATCAGGGAAAGCAAATTCTGCAGCAACTGGACCTGACTCAAGAAAGTTTTTCTACCGGCACAGTGGAAGAAAAGACAGGTAGCAGTGAGTGTCCACTGCTGCAAGCAGAGCTGTGTATCTTGGCACGCACAGGTACGCGGAGAAAGGCCTGGTGGAGAATGGGGACAAGGAAAAGGAGGCAAGGCATAGGGTTATCTCCGCTTTTACGTGCTCGGGTTTTATGCCTGGTGGCTCCTGCGATGTTTAGATAGGCACACTAGTGAAGCTACTTGTACTGGAAGTCGTTATTTTGTTGTGCTAGAACTATTCCAGCTGCAGTCTTTTCATGTTGGGTTATTTCTCCTTTCACGAGGAAGCTTACATAAAATCTCTAAATCGAGGATATCAGGAGTATCACAGGGTATTTGACCAGCAAGAGAAAGCATCGATATATCCACAGAAGGAGGCAAGTCTGCAT